CTGGGAGGCGGGAGGTCCCTTACTCAGAGAGGGACATTTTGCTTATGTGCCACACCCTGGCTTGCCTGGCCCTCCTCTGCGCTTCTGTGGCATTAGCGACCTGCTCGTGTAGGTGATCTGGCTCAGAGACATGGATTTCAGAAACTGAGCCATAATAAGGATGTGGATGACAGTATGTGCTCCCGTTAGCCAGAAACATTGCAGCCTACTCCCCGATGTGAGGCATAAATCTGCTTTCTGCTCTTCTGTTTGAGATCTTTGGCTATGTTGTTAGGAGTTGGCTAATTCTTTTTTCCCCCAAATAAAATGACTTTCTTTTTTCTGGTTTGAATGATCATGTATGGTGGTTGTAGAAAATGTGGAAAATACAAAAAAAAAAAAAAGAAAAGAAAAGAAAACAAACTAGAAAGGAAAGAAATCCACTCAAATATCCCTACCCACCACAGATTGACTACTATTACCATTTGAGTTGCTTTTTTTTTCTTCTAGTTGTTTACAATGCATTTTAAAAACATGGTTGTACTGTAAAGCTAGTTATATCACGTTTTATCTTGGATCTTGCCCTTTTCTACTTCATTTTTTTTTGCTCAAGCAGCAAGGAAATCTATTATGTCACATAACTTTCCTCTTGCTCCTTTTTGCTCCAGGCAAAATGGTTTCACACATACCAGACGTTCCACCTCAGGGCCTTTGCACTGACCGTTCCCATGATCTGGAAGGTTCTTCCTACAGGTGACTGCATGGCTCACTCCCTCACCTCCTCTGGGCCTTTGCTCACATGTCACCTACTCAGTGAAACCTCCACTGACCTCCCCATTAAGTTTGCACCTGTGCTAGCCAGAATGCCTCCTGACCTAGTCCCGTCCTTTTCCACGGCACCCAGTGCTGATGGCGCTAATCATACCACGTGTGTGTTTATTATCACTATCATTATTCTAACTCAGGAGCTCACATAAGCATTGACTAAGCGTACTTTTGGTCAACACTTTGAAATACCTTACACATAGCTTATTTTTTTAATGGACTGGACTTTAATCATTGCCCTACTGCTGGACATGTAAATGGAACCCAGTGTTTTGCTATTTTAAATTACATAAACCTGTGGTGAACCTTTTGTGTATAAAGTGTTTTTCCATTTCTTAAGCACTGAAAGAAGATTTTTGGGACATGGGGTTACTGGATAAGGGAAATTGTATTAAGACTCATGGCTGCAAGTGATAGGAACTCAAACTGGCTTGAGCAAATTAAAGGAAATTCTTGGCTGATGTATTTGAAAACTACAGGGGTAGACTGCAGGTAGGGCTGATTCCAGAGGTTCAGTCCATGTTGTCAGGGGTCTGATTTGTGTCTCTTATCCTTCATCCATGCTTTCCTCTGTGTTGGCTTCATGGGAGGCAGCTTCTCCCCATTTAAGGCAAAATTGCGTTTTGTAGCTCCTGTTTTCATGCTACCAACTGTACAGTCCCGTCTTAGAAAGACATCCCCTTCCCAGTATTTTTAGCAAAAACTCAGGACAGGTTGTCGCTGGCTCACGTTGAATTGTGGCACCCTTGAATCTTTAACTCTGGCTGTAGGACAAGTATATAGGAGAGTGGGGGTGATGATGTCATCCCGCCCAAACCACAACCTCTGAGGGCAGGGGAGGGAGCTCTCTCCAGAGGAGACTTGGGGTGCTCTTGTCTAAATGGGGAATGGATGCTGGGAAGGCCCCCAAACTGCGGATCTTCATTTTACTTAGGAACATTTTAGGGACTCTGTGCCCTAGTAGGGAAGGAAAAAAGCACAGAAAATGAAGGCGCCTAGTCCCATAGCCGAAGCATGCATTTTTGGATGTGTGAGGCCAGCCTCATCAGGTGGCAGTCTGCTGCCACTCTCACTGTGGAAAGGGAGAGAACCGTGAGGAGGGGAAACCCCTGGCCTCAGCTCCCTGGGGAATGAGGCTCCGATGGCCTGTAATTGCATGCCTCCTGGGCTCTTGGTGGCCACCGGCTGCCGGAGTACGTGTTTAAAATACGAGTGGTAGAGACAGGTTCTAAATGGGAGGAGCTGGAGAGTTCTTGAAAATTTCCCTAGCTGTGCTCTCCAGATGAATTTGGAGGCTTCTGACAGTCGGGCACTCCATTCCAGAGGAGCGGTGGCGTTTGTCATACAGGCCCTGCACCGCCAGCTGACAGTCGCAGTGGCTTCATTTCCTGCAGCTCTGTGGCCCCGGCCTTGACCCAGAGCAGTCTTGGCAAGAGAGCTCGGCTTCGCGGCTTGCCCCCCTGCTGGTCTCCGTGCACCTTGCTGGCTGGCAGCATGATTCCGATGTCGAAAGGGTCCTTATCTGTCATCTACTGTGGGATGTGCACCTGCCTTAAAGGCACTGCTAGACTTTTGTTGGATCTCTGGTGGCTTTCAGCTACCCTCAGCCAAGTACGTCCGTGGCTCCAGGAGTACCTGCCTTGTAATCCCTCCCTTGGTGGGTCATCCTGGCCCAGGCCTGTGTTCTCCACGTGGAAACTGCTCGCAATGAGAAGCTGTCTGAGCCAAGGCCTTGTCAAGGGCCCTTTAGCGTACCCTGGATTCCCCATGCAATTTTTGGCATTTTCTTCCTTCCCATCTTATCAAGGAGATTGGATAGAGGCAATTTATAAGTAAATGATACATGTTAGTCCTTCCCTTCTGTGAAGGACTCTGGGTTAACCTGGAGCCCTCTTGCTCACATTTTCCTTGGTGCTTGGAAGGGGATAGAACAATACTAATATTCCACTTGTACTCTAAGCTATTGATCCACTGGGCAGGCTGGAATCACTCACACAAGCAGAACTATCTGTATAATTCTGAGAGGGTTTGAAATCATGGACACTGACTCCATTTGAGTCAGGGAAATCCACTACCAATGGCCATCTCCTTTGTTGGATTCCAGAGTCTCTAAGATAAAGTTCCTTGTGTTTCTCCATATAATCAACTGGGTGTACACCTCTCTGAAATCTCTACTCCACTGTGCAACTGTCTGGTATTACCAAATAACTGAGTCAAGCTATTTTATTTTATTTTTTGATTTTTTGATTAAAGCTTTTTAAAGAAACGGTTTACCTCTTGGAAAGCAGGTGGCCTTCTGGCTTGGCGGGTGGAGCGCTTGCTCCGTTGTGCTCTCCCTTCCATGGTGCCCAGGCCGGACGGGGTGGGGAGAGACAGTGCCAAGCTCTGGCGTGGGCTGCTCTTCGTTATCTGCTGTATATAGTGAGAGTCTGTGCAGGATGTTAGTAGGAGTTAAAAAGTTTCCACCGCTGATAAAGAAGGAACCCACAAAAGGCACGCAACTAAGATACCGTAAAAACAGGCTGTAATGTAAATACAAAACAAAACAAAACAAATCCAACATTTGTTTCTGTAAAATTTTATGAAGCTTACGTAATGAGTTACTGAGTCCCGAGTGCAAAGTCAGGCCCAGCATCCTCTAGTTTATCTTGGTGCTCAGGGCAACCCCTCGGAGGACCTCCTGCCTTTTTTGCCCGTGTCTGCATGGCCTGTGAGTTGAGTTCTTTGGGAGGATCCAGGGCCCCTTTGCACCACCACGGCCGTGGTGCCCATGAAAGCTACAGCCCGTCACCGCATACAGCTGGCTCTGCCCTTCTCCCTCCCCCTGCCCGTAGGAGCAACAGCAGGGATAACTGCGACAGCTTTTTGTAAGAAGCAGAGATGGTCAGGGATTTAATGAGTTGCTTTTGCCTTACACAGCCTGAGGACTGGAATGTGGCTGGCTCCCAGGAAGGGCTTAGAAACGTTAAGAAGCTAGTGGCTCCCTTGCCCGAGAGTTGTGTTTACCCCATGCTTGTCTCTCTGCTCCTCAGTGTGTATAGCAGGCGATGGCCAACTCCACTTCCATGTTCACAGGTTTCACTTCTAACAACATTAATTGACCAACTAGACTCTTGGTCTCAATTCCTTATTCACAGAAAATGAAATAGGCTTTGTTCCCATTGAGTCACATGACCCTGTTATGGCTGGGGGCAGGGGTACAAAGCACAACATGGCTGTCCAGGGCCCATTTGTGGACGTTAATGGATAGGACAGAGACTGGGTTCCAGAGAAGGGACATGGGGTGAGCTGAGTGGGGGGTCCAAATGGGTATTGCCCTCTGTGCCCCACACCCACACCTCACTTACTTCACGAGTCAGCGGCTGGTCATACCTGTGCCTGGGACAATCTGCTTCAAAGCTTTGCTGAGCCATTGGGTAGGGTTTCCTTCTCTGTTGGAGGGTGGACATAATGCTTGATGATAGGACTTTTGTTTGGAGATCTGCCCTTATTAAGTCAAGCTGAGAACAGTCTTTGAAACTGGACATTGCTTTGGCACAGAACAGATCACGGAATTAGGCATATGCGCTGCTCAGTTAACTCCCCCCCTTAAAAGGTAGATAGATTTTTGAATATGGAGAAACGTTTTAATTGTAACTGTTCAGTCTATATTTGTAGACATCTCTTGGTTAAGATCATTTGCTGTTGTTTTTTCTAAAGAGTTTCCTTGAGGCCTACACTGGATTTTCAGCTCTGATGGGCAAGAGATTTCTCTCAACCGTGTTAGCAATGGTGTGTGCGTGTAGATACCACCACTAATTACCTTATGATGGGAACAGTGTGGATGGTCACACTTTTGCTCTGATAGTTTCATGTGATTCCCAGCTCTCTGTTCCCTGTTACTGAATTCTTAAAGTCTTAGCAGCCATGTGATTGACAAGTGCTTGGGCATTTTCATTCTGAAGCTGGCCCTGTGGTGCTTGAGGATGTGGTGGGGAGGGATGCTGTTGCCGGTGGAGTCTGCAACCTTTTCACTTCACTCTTTACCTGTTTTGGTTCATAGGTGTTACAAGTACAGTTAATTTTTAACTTAATTCTCTGGGAACTTTTCCAGGGATGTTTAAAAGGCCCTATCAATTATACTAATATACTCAGAAATGAGAGAAAATATCCATGAGGTCTTAAAATATTCTGAATAATATTTTCTTTCTTTTTAGCTGTCTCCGTTATGAGGTACAGCGCCTCTGCTTTTGGGTTTGCAGTAAGTAACCTGAAATGTACTTTTATGAAGTTTTGCACGTTTTTCCTGAGCCCATGAATCTCGCCCTGGGCTCGCTGTTCAGAGGGTGGTTAGCAGACAAGAGCTTAGCATGACAAACAAACCTTTTATGGCAATAGCTTCCATAACAAAATTACAGTTTCATGGAAGTAAACAGCGATTTACTTGAGAACGGTGATGCTCTATAGGTCTCCAGAACAGATTAGGGGGACCTCATTTTCCACCCCTGGTTTAGAAGATATTTGAGGGGTTTCAGCCTGGTTTTCTCTCTCAAGGTTGTAGGTGTGAAAGTGGGCACACACTGGAGTGAAGACGCATTTGCTGGTGCAGGCAGAGGTGTTGGGGGTTAGGAATGGGGCTGCCGGCACTAGACAAGTCAGTCTCCGGTCCCATTAGGGGTAACCTGACTCCCAGACCTGCTTCCTGATGGGAACTGGTCAGAGAAAACGGGTCTCAGAAAATGGGTCAGAGAAAACGGGTCTCAGCCTAGGCATGTTGAAAGCTTGGGTGAAGTCTCCCCACATTCCTTTAAGAGAGTGCTAGTGGTTGTAGTTTTCCAGATCAAAAGTGCATTGTGGTGCAGTGACTCATCTGGAGAGGTCCAGCATCCTCCTCTGTAGCTTCAGGGTTTCCTGTACCTGAGGGCATGTGTTCCTGTTCCCAAACCTACTTCTTCCCTTTGCTGTGAGAACTAAATGTTTTGTAGGTTGTAGATTGTAAGGTATGGACAGTCTCTCCAGAAAAGTGGGTGCGTGCGCATGTGCACGTGCACGCGCACGCACACCCACCCACCCCCACCCCCACCCACCTTTCTTTTCTCCTCTTTCTTCTGTCTGTGTCCCTCACACATTAGCTCATTCATTCAAACAAGAGCATTGAGTTTTGTATACAATTTTTAAGTGTTGGCAGAGTTCCCAGAACCCTTGGGTGGCCCCACTCTCACCCCTGAACCTCAGGTAGAACCATCCCACTGGGAGGCAGACACACAGAATCCTTATCCTGAATCTTTTACCTGGGATGTAGGGGGAAATGCTGCAGTGATTTTGCCTGCTGGGAGATAGGTGTGAGAACAGTGTAAGTCCCCCCATATCTCCAGAGTGCTAGGAGCCAGGGCCCAGGGAGCAGAGCCCACTGCACCACAGAGTGTGCTTTCTCAGGCTGTGGGAGCAGCCTGAGGAGCAGCGCGAGGTGAGGAGGAGCTGTGGTCCTTCCACCAGGCTGGCCTGTCCAGTGGCCTCGGCTCCAGATTCCCAGTACCCACCGTGAGGATGAGCAGGAGCGTCTGTTGTAAAGATGCGAAGCCTCTTTGCTCTGAAGTCGCTGGCTCAGATTCCAAGCCTCTGTGTCTTGTGTCTTCACAGTCTTGCCTTATTAACTCTGGAAAACACTAACGCCGTGTCTCCTTCTCCTAGTTTGATGCCATCCTCGACGTCCTGTCCTCGGCGATTGTCCTGTGGCGTTACAGCAATGCTGCCGCCGTACACTCTGCCCACAGGGAGTACATGTAAGTGGATTTTTCTCTTCCTCCAGGCTGCGGAACCCTTGCAAAGGAAGGCCACATCATTAGGCTGTCAGCGTAGCTCTCCTTGCAGCTTTGGTCCCAGGGATGAGAATGAGGACCCACATCACCTTCGAGAGGGCCTGCTGTGATACCAGCCATATGACAGGCTCCTTTGGGGATGGTCGGAGAGATGGGGTGCCCTTTTATAATTCGCCCTGTTCTCTGCTCGAGTCGGGAGGGAATGTTTGTCATTTGTCTGGCTCTCCTTCTGTCCCTCTGTCCATTGATCTGGCCACGTTTCAATTCATCCATCCTTCCACCCTCGTTCTTTTTGTGTTTGTGGAACCTTTGTTCTCTTGGGTTCTCATGCTTTAGGATGAGTTTTCCACTGTAACTTCCGGAAGACATCTTGACGGTATTCTAAGTTACACTGCTTGTCTTCCATTCCTCTCTCTATTAGAGGACGTGGCTTGTCCCAGTCTCTGCATCCTGTGGGTAATGATCTTGTCTTTGAGGAATTTGAGTTTGTGACCATAAAACATGGCTTTCCCACCTTCCATCTTCTCTATTCCATTTGTAATCTCCAGGCTGATAATAGCACAGGTTCCAGAGTCAGATTTCTTGGCTTTGAATCTTAGCTCTACCACTTGCTAGCTCTGTGACTGTAGGAAGCTGCTAAGTGCTCTGTGCCCTGTTTCCTCATCTGGAAAAGCAGGAAAACAACACCCCCTTCATAGGGTTATTATATATATTATATATGCACAATATGTAATGTAGTATGTATGTTACATATATTAGAACAGTATATGCACATATAACTTAGAGCAGTGTTCGGCATGTAGTTCAGGAAACCTTAGCTGCCATCATTATTAATTATTAAGGAATTATTAAGGGGGCTCCCCTGAGACTGAGCTGCCACTGGTCATTAAGGGAAGAGTTTGATCCCACTTCTGTGGCTTTTGGACAGTTGAATACAAATGAGTAAATGCTTCCCTGCTGTGTTTCTGGTGGTGCCCAGACGGAAGGTAGTCTGGATGGGAATGCCATGTCATACCTAAAATGTGTAAGTGTTGAGATGCAAATGTTAGGTGCTAGGGGACTCAGAGAGTAATAGATCTGGGGTTGCACGTGCCAAATGGAAAGGTTTTGAATATGATATAAACTTATAACATGCTGTAACTGATTCACGAATGAGAATAAATATTATTTCACTGTTGGCTCTAGGTAGAGCACAGAAACTTCTTTGAAGTGTTAGGTATTTATTTTAACGTGCATTAGCTCTTTTAACACATATGAAGGGTCGAATCTGTGATATCACAGATGATATTGTTTAGGATAAGGTTAATTTTTTTTAAAAGTGAGTCAATTGATGGTTGAAAAAAGTTAAGAAAACAATTCCAGTAAGTTGATTTTGTAAAATTTCAAATGATGGTATCATAATGATCAAAGTTGAATTAATACTAGTCTAGCCAAAGGAATAGCTAATACAAAAACTGGAGTTTTTGCTGGCTAATTATTTGAGGAATACAGTGAGAACAACCTAGAGACAGGTTGTCCTTTTCCTGCCAGGAGAACATAAAATCTTTGGTTCTATAGTTGCGCTGTCCAGAACGGTAGCCACTGGTGGCTATTTTAGCACTTACATGTAGCTGGTCCGAACTAAGAGGTGTTGTAAGTGTAAAATAGTACATTCCATAGACTTAGTAAAAAAAAAAAAAAAAAAAGACTGTAGACATTTTATTAATAATTTTAAAGATATTGATTACACATTGACACAAGAATATTTTGGATATGGGGTGCCTGGCTGGCTTAGTTGGTATAGCATGTGACTCTTTGTCTCAGTCTCATGAGTCCAAGCCCCATGTTAGGTGTAGAGATTACTTAAAAATAAAACCTTAAAAAAATATTTTGGATATATTGGGTTAACCTATTATAATTAATTTTACTTCTGTTTCCTTTTTCTAATGTGGCTTTTAGATATTTAAAATTACACATGTGGCTTATATTATAATTCTTTTGGGCCTTGCCTTCAAAAGACAAAGCTCTTCCCTCTGACTTTTCTTATTTTTGAATTACTAATCCAGAATTTGATTTGCAATTCCAGAAGGAATTGAGTTCCATGTTTCTCAATATCTCTCTTCTAATGTGCTTATTAAAATCCGATTTCTTTTATGATGAAATGAGTTTCTTACATATTAGTCACAAATCTACAAATTATTGTGGCTTTTCTATAGAGTTGGGATCTCTTTGAGCATTTGTCAGGTGGCCTGGAGTTTTTCCAAGATTTCAATATTGATGACAAAAGATTGATGATCCAGCATTTCACGGATGGTTCTCGTATTGGTATGGATGTAGGCTGGGAATGGGTAGCTGAGGTAGGGTGTGAACCAGATGTCTTTGGTTTCACTGTTTTTAGTGATCCCCAAACAGGTACCATTAAAAAAAAGGTATATCTCTATTGATACCCAAAGGACAAAAACTCACAGAGAAGTTGCTTCGATAATTCCCAGATGATAGTTCACATGAAGATGCCAGTGAATTCATTTGGAGAGTCTAAACGTAGGGATTCAAACGACACTCCACAGTCCTTTGTATTGTTGGCTTTAGTTTAAAGTTTTAATCTCTGCCTCATCCCATGTAAATTAAAAATTCATGGAATCATTGCCAGCTGAGAAACTGATGTTTGCATATTAATGAGCATGAATGAATTATGAAAGGCATGGCTAGAAAAACCATTGGCTTTCAGTTAGTTGCTGGAGAATAATGAATGGGGAAATACCCAACTGGTCCTTAGTTAATTCCTCTAATTTGTCCTACTTCGACTCTAAGCTTCAGAAAGAATCTTGAGCTCGGAATTGCCAGCACAAGGAGGAGAGGGAGCTTCGTCAGCCCTGCGCCCTGATGCTGTGTGTGCTGGCTGCATGGGATAGGGCGTTTGATGCCCAGAGGAAGAGAGGATGCTTTTAGCACCACCATGGAGTACTACATTGTACACCTCAATTGTTAAGATAGCCAGCTACAGAGTGTAGCCTCAGTGGTTTTGTTTTGCTTTTTTTTTTTTTTTTTTGCTGTGGTAAAAAATACATAACATTGAATTTACCATCTTAAATGTTTTAAGTGTATGGCTCAAAAGTATTAAATCTATTCATATATGGTTGTGAACAGAGTCCCCAGAACTTCTTCTTCATGCAAAACTGAAGCTTTATACTTACTAAACAGCTACCCTTGTCCCTCTCCCCCAGCCCTTTGCAACCACCGTTCTATTTTGTTTCTCTGAATTGATTACTCTAGGTACCTTAAATAAGTAGAATCAGAGAGTATTTGTTCTTCCGTGACTGATTTCTTTCACTTAGCATGATGGCCATGGTAAGGTTAACAAACGGTCCTCAGGGGTGAGAAATCTTGCTTGCTTAGGTAGCCGGTCATGGGTGTGGGACACTAATCTGAGAGTGAGATGCTAAAATCCAGCATTTCATGGGTGGTTCTCTTATTGGTATGGATGTAGGCTGGGAGTGGGTGGCTGAGGTAGGGTGCAAACCAAAGGTCAGGGACGTGTGTCTTGCCAGGTAGTGGCTGGGTGCCCCGTCTGGGATGGAAGGAATGCTTGCGGAATTCAAGGAGGAGATGAATGCAGTGAAGCAGTTTCTGCTGTCCTCAGTCACTAAAGGAGAGGGGCCAGGAGGTGGGGGCTGACACAAGGAGTTGTAGCGGGTGGTTCACTCTGAGGGTGCCTGTGAGTGTCGAGGGGAAAAGCTGGAGGACTGGTCTGGAACTCAGCACGAGGAAGGGAGGCTTTGTGAATGTGGATGGGAGAGAACACGTAGGGAAGGCAGCTTTCCCAGGGAGCAGCCAGGTTTTTATTAGGCCAAGAGGTGAGGGCAAGAGTCAGAAAAGAGCCTGAGGGTGTGGTCACTGGGACAGGATGAAAGTGTTCTGGGGAGGGAAGGGAGCTAGGAGACAACACAGAGCATGGCTCGAAGGGTGGGGTGGTGACAAATGTCCTGGTGACCGCAGATTGCCCTGAGGCCACCGCAAGAATGAAGCACTATTTGTACACTTACACTGTGATCACCAAGCGTCCTTAGGTGAAGAAAGTGTGCAGCAAAATAGTGTTAGGGTCTTTTCTCATTGGTTTTAACAATAGAGGTTTGCATCCACGCACACTGCTTAGGCATATAAAAACTCTCGCAAGGATACAGAGCAGACTGACAGCAGGCTCGCCTCAGGAAGGGGGTACGGGGGACAGAAGAAAGGGAGGAGGTCTGCTCTTCCTATCCTGTAGACCCGAGCAGCCCCGTAGAACTCTCTGCAGCCATGGACGCGTTCTGTAGTTGCCCCGTCCGGTGTCCTCAGACCCTTACCCACGTGGGGCCATGGAACATTGGCTCTGTGGCTAGGTTTCTAGCTTGATTTAATTTAAATGAATTGAACTGTGAATCGTCACATGTGGCTCGTGGCTCCCATATTGGACAGTGACTTGTTAGGTACTTTGATCATTTTTAATCCATTTTTTTTTTAAAAACAGTGTTGTTACTCAAAGTCCACGGGACTTGGAAATGAGAGCAAGATACTGAGGGAAGGAAGGAGGTGCCGGAGGTGGCAGGCGTGGGAGAAATGAGTATAGGAGGAACTTGGCAAGGCCAGATGACACAGGGCATCTCACACTTGTGCCCCGGGAAGCATAGCTTCCCACTGCCATCAGCTGTGGAGGGCCATCGGGCTGCTTGCCATGGGAAGGTACAGCTTGACACTCACTGGGGGCCTCTGACATTTTGCATGATTGCAGCACAGGTGGGAGGCCCATGAATGCTCCCCAGTCCCAGCTGTCTCCTTGGGCCATCCGTCAGCTCGCAGAGATGGAGAGGTGGAGGCAGATGGGAGGCTGTTCACCTTTACAGGCTTGAAATTCTGCAACACTGAGGCAGAAACACAGCCTGGGAGGTTGTTCACTTGTTCCAAATGTACCTCCAAATGGTATGATGCTCAGCAGCATATTGGAAAGC